CCTGTAATAATTAGGGAACCACCTGAATACTAGTTTCCTAAGTTATGTTGCATGCAGGCTGGCTGTCAAAATGTACATAAAAACCGTTGCATGTAATTTATCCTTCTTCCCTTGGGTAGGACTCAGTATTTAACCATGAGCTCTTTGCAAATAAAAATTGTAGATTCTCTTTAAAAATATTGCTGAAGAGAAAATTATCAGAACTAATTTCAACTGTTGCACTGATGTTTTTTCTTTTGCCAATAAAGCACCCATCATTCTTTTTTCTATAGGCAGAACCCTGAAAAAAGGCTTCTTTACTTCTCCCACTCTAGTCCAGGACAGATGAGCTCCTTCAGTTTACACAAAACTTGCCAGAAGAAATTTTGCATGATGTATACCAGAAGTCCTTGACATGTAAACATAATGTAAATACACCACATTCTATTGCTCACCCACAGCATGTGGTAGAAAGACTCACTCGTCTTTCCATCATCATAACTTAAATTTAAGCAAACACTAAGAAATGCTTCAGAGTGAACAGATTTACATTTTACTATTTAATTTTTTGATCATTCACATTGTTTCCTCTAATTAAACTACATCAGTGCATACAAAGATTTGTATAAGCACAGAAATATATCTTACTTCATGTGGAATAGCTGATTTTTCAAAATTCATGATGCTTTCTCTTTTTGGCATAGTCTCCAAGTTATGACTGTATCTACTGCTATTAATGCCATTGTTTATATATGCCTTCATGAATTCGTTGGTGTGTTTAATTCAAAAATCTGCTTATGTTTTAATAAATCTTCTCCACCAAACAGAAAGCAAGTTCCATAAACAACAGAAAAATGCTAGCACCAATAACAGGCATCAGCTCTAAGGAGCCCGGTGGATCTTATTGCAGTGCTATTATTTTGCATTTTTAGTTTTGTAATTATTTTCTTGTTATAAATAGTTCATTATACATATTGTTTCTTTAGCTCTAACACTCAAAAGTTAAAATAAGATTCAACAATGGGCAAAAACATTTTTTTCCTCAGCATAAAAGCATATAAGTGAAAGCAGTATGCAATGTAAATTGGTGCAGGAGAAGGTTTTTTATGTGCCTGAATCCCTTGAAAGCTTTTCTGCTAAAGTGCTTTTATCTTTCTTTTAAACAGAAAATTAGGTATATACATGCCATTTATATATTTTTAACACATTTTATGTGTCTGCCTACAGAATAAACATACATCCACTAAATATTCAAAAAAGGTTTCAAATGGCTACATAACGACCACTACTACCACCAAGTCTGGTACAGGAATACAATTTCAATTAATTTCCTCTATAGGACTTAGTAGCACTAATCTTTTTTTGTGTTTTAATTCTGTACACTTAAATTAGCAAAATCAAAAAAAAAGAAAAAAGAAGACTGCATGGACCAGAAGCTAGTGAATTCCTGACAGATCACCCCGGCTCTTGTTTACTTCATCCCATAGTTTTAAGCTAATCCTTTGTCTCCTTCAGAAAATACAATGCCATCCCCTAGATTAAGAACTGTGATAACAAAGACCAAAGTTGAGTTTTTTCCTCACATGAAGTCCTGTAAAAGATGTCTTAGACATGATGCAAACATGCTGTTCCTTAACATTTATTTACACACATAGTTTTATTGGTTATTGGTGTACCTTTAAAATACTTATCTTAAAAAAAAAATCCAAACATGAAAGAGTAAAGCAGCCAGCTATTCCATGAATATTATAGCCACAGACAGGCACCTTGTTTAAATCAAGGCTGCTTCACAGAGTAACACTTAACAGGACAGTAGCAAAGCTTTTCTAACAAAAGTACTGAAGTAGCAAGTAGCAGACTGAAAGGACCATAAATGGGGAAGATCAAGTCTAACTAAACAAAAAAACCAAGCAAACAAACAAAAAATTTACTCTTGCCAGCACTAGAGGTTTCAGATACAGTATTTCTAGGACTAATACTCTAATTAGGCAATAGAAATGCTTTGAAAAGACACAAATTGAAGAAGTATGTTTACTTTTGGTACGTGTCATGAAAGACCTGAAATTACACTTCCCCAAACTACATTTTTCAGAGCTTCTGCTCCTAACTGCAAATGAAAATGAGATTGAACATAAGTACCCATATTTACAATGGCAAGTATGTAGTCTGACCTAATTAAAAAAATACCTCATGGATCAGCTGTCAGCTGAAAGAAGCTTCTTCCTGTTTTGTACAAGAATACTTTATAACTAACAAAGAACACTGGACTTTCTTCCCTTTAAAATTAAAATGCACTTTTAAAAATGTGACATAGGTAGCCATACTGACTAGTGTATAGTCTGGGGTTGAAGAAAAAGACATTAAATTCTGCTGTAAAATGTTCTGATTTATATAATGAGGAAAGTCAAATACATTCATATTGCCAAAGAAACCACTACTGAAGTGAGTCTGATGAAATCTCTAAGACAGGCGAATAAGGCCAAATCAAACCTTGACTCAAGCATCCACTCCTAAATAAATAATATTAATTGTGGCTAGCGACAGAAATGAATTAACTGACGTTAGTGCATTAACATACATTAGCCTATTATTGGCTAAATGAGAGTTGTTAATGCTGATGTAGAGCTTTGGTGAAAGGGCAAAGAGCAATACATGAAGGAAAGTGCTGGAAATCATTCCCTGTAAATAATTACAGATGTAACAGTCCTATTTTACTGTGGGCATGGAAATGCAAACTAGAGAGGTACATGGTAACAGTCTTTTTAAAGATAATTAATGCTAGGTACCATTTTTACAAATATGCACTAACAGCTATGTGCAATTTAACATGATCTGAGAGTAAACTAGATAACAACATAATAACAGCAATATTTACCGCTGGAATGGTTGAACAGCTCCCAACACTTCTGGCTGATGTGGTACTTTTAGTCCTTGTTCTGTGCTCAGCAATATGAATGATACTCTCTTCATTTCTAAAATACATCAATCAATGTTTTATTCCACTAGCAAGATAAACATCCTTTGCCTTTATGAGCATCATGTTTTAGTCTTAACTTTTTGAGATATAATCTGAAAACTCCCAACAGAACATGCAAGTACTACAGAACATTTACACTTTAAATACTAACACTAGTTGTTCAAAACAGGCATTTTATGAAAGGAAGAATTTGCTGCATAATAGCCATGTGTATTACAAGCACATGAAAAGAAGTTTCAGAATACTTAAAAAAAGATTCAGATTCTGCACAATGTCTTGACAAGTCATTTCACTAAAAAGCAAAAGCTTGATATATGCATCCAGGTACATGGTGGGCTAGCAAACTCACAAGAGTTAGAATTTCATGTACAAGGGGCTAGCCCGAAGGTAAGCAGGAATTTCTAAGTATGTCAGGAAAGGAATTAAAAGCTAGAACAATACACAGTACAACATATTTGAATACTACATTCCAAGGAGCTTGTTCTTACTAACTTCGTCTCAGTGAGCAGCAGAATAATTTGGCCTTGAGACAGAGCATTCAAATTACAAACTTATTCAGAAAAGTTATTCAGAAGCAGTATTTTAATATCAAGACCGCTTCAATACCAATATTAACTGAAAAAAAAGAAAAAAGGGAAAAAAATTCCATAGAAAACAGGTTGGTCTACAAATTAAATCCAAGACTTGTTCTCTCATTAAACAGATCAGTTGTCCACATCACACATTACATATGAAGCATTCCATATGTAGTACCAATCAACAGGTTACCTATTATGAGACCAACAGGAAAGATATTCACTGAAAGTTTTAAAAATAAATTGAATTTTTAGTCTTCAATTTAAACAAGAGTAGCTGACAAGTAGTCCTTTTTGAGCTACTTGAAAGATTTACATTTATTGGGGGAAGGGCAGGAACCACACTCCTAGATTGTAGGTATGATTCTTTACCTGTAATGCCTGAATTTCTCATTTGAAGTTGACAAGTGAACCAGATCAGGGCCTTTGTCTCCATTCTCCTTATCATTACAGCACCCGCCTTGACCTGTCTGATTTTCAACTCCAGCAGCATTTTCAGCTATGCTTTTGCCCTCAGAAAAAGCAATTGCAGAATTCTCTGCATCTTCACCAGACTTCCAAAGCATAGCTCGCCCTTCAACATTTTCTAAGGCTGAACTCAACTTTGACATATTCAGCCTTTGTGTATTTTCACTACTTTCAGTTGTATCAGCCTCTTCATTGCTATACACAAAGTCATTAGAGGTTCTGCTTTCAGAGAAATCACCCACTTCATACATGAAGTCTGCATTGTTTTCTTTAGCTTTGCTGAAGTAGTCAAGCTTATTCTCAGCATCTTCTACAAATTCTGATACCTCTGTTGCACTATCACCCTCATCAGAACCTGGTGGGTAAAGCAATTCACTATCTTCCTGCATTTCTTTTGTACAGCCGCTGGCAGCAATCTCTCTGTCAAGAGAACACTCTCTCCTGTGAAAGAAGTAAAAGTATGTTTTCTTTTAATATGCTAAATCATCAAGCTACCAATATGCTACATTTTGGATTAAAAATACTAATCAAGCTAGGATCTAATTACCCATACTATTAACAAAGAGAATATACTCCACTGAAACACACAGAACACCACAATAGTGCTGAGCTTTAGGTAAAGTATTAACAGAATGTGGCCTGAGAGAAACAAACTTCTACGTAAGACAATTCCATCTCCATAACCAGCATTTATTTGTTTATTTATTTATAGGGAATTATTTTATTTTAGCAGGAATAAAATTTGGCTCTAAGTTCAAATTACGTTTAAGCAAACAGAAGAATAAAGGGTACACTGACAAACACACACTGATTTAAGTGTGATACCCCTTTGGAAAAGCGCTCAGAATGAAATAAAACCCTTTGCATTGCAACAGGTTCAGCCTTAAAATAAGTGAAAATTACTTTTCAGAAGGGACAAAAGACACTAGGAAGAAAACTGAACATAATAACGTTTGAAGAGGCAGTCACCATATTTACTAACATTTAAAAAATAAATTTAAAATTTAAACCCAAATTAATCCTCAATATACCAGAACTGTTAAATAGGCTTTGAGAAGTGGGATAAACTGCTTCTGCAATGTTCTTAACATTTCCTACATATTTACAATTTGGATCAAGCTTTCTGATTGATCTCTCTTCCTTAGCTGCAAGAAGACAGACAATGGAGGCAGCAGCAGATTTTAAAGCAAACTTTAGCTTTTGGAAACCATTTACAGTAACTTTGGTTGAAGAAAACGCAACAGGAATGACAAAAATATAATTTAAAAATTGCATAGTTGGGCCTACGTTTTTTTATTTCTCCTACAAGGATCTCTCACAGGCATCCATTTTTCTCACAAACCCAACAGAAATACTATAAATAGGACAACTCAAATTCATCTGGCAGTTTCTACCTGATGTCTTTGAATGCTGGGAAGAGCTCACTCTCGTAGTTGAAGCGTTTCTTAAAGAACTCCTTAACACAGTTAACATCTCTGTCAAAATACCTGCAAAAATACAGAATTGTACAAACACAAAATCAAGGTAATGATGCCTACTACAATGGCAAACTTTTACCCTACATTTCTTGACTTTTACTGATCTTATTTCAAAATTATTTCTATTAGTGACCCAAAGACAAAAGGCTAGGAATACAAACTGCATGCAGTTTATTCCTACGCATTTTTTAACTGAACATTATTCCCTCTGAGAAGCAATTGATTACGTATTTAGCCTAAAGAGACATCTCCACTCATTCATAAAGCAAACTATGCTTGAAATATCATTTGTGCTGCATGACAACAATAGTAGAAAAAGAATCAGAAACAGGCTTATGGAAACAAGTCATGGTTGACTATTCGCTGTCATCAGCAGTTGTCAGATTTACTTTGAAAATACCTTTATATTTGAACCTACCATTCAGCATTTGCATGTGATGTTGATATCATCTGAGGGAAATCAATCATAGTGACACGGTCATCATTATCCAATATGAGATTAAATTCATTGAAATCACCATGAATCAAACCATGATTGGCAAGTTTTACAATTAGATCCATTAATTCACTGTAGACAGAGGCAGGATCTTCCATTTGGTGTACCTGGCACCTGAAAAGTTAAATAAAATAAAATATCCTGAACCCGGAAAGACTTTATTTAAAAATATAGACAAAGTATATGAAATACCTCTGACAGATGACAGAGTAATTCAAGTTAAAAGGGCCCTCAGGTCTTTAGTCTAATACCCTCCTGTCCTGGTTTCAGCTGGAAAAGAGTTAGCTTTCTTCCTAGTAGCAGGCATAGTGCTGTGTTTTGGATTTAATATGAGAAGAATGTTAATAACACACTGATGTTTCAGTTGTTGCTAAGTACTGCGTATGCTAGTCAAGGACTTTTCAGCTTCCCATGCTCTGCCAGGTACACAAGAAACTGGGAGGGGGAACAGCCAGAAGAGTTGATCCAAACTGACCAAAGGGCTATTCCATACCATACGACATCATGTTCAGTATATAAACTGCAGGGGGGTGGCCGGGGAGCAGCAATCGCTGCTCAGGAACTGT